CTGTGGAGTTCTTGCTGCTCTCTGAATTTGGTGGTTTCCTTGCAGACGTTTCATGGCCCAACTAGGGAACATCATCAGTGCTAGAAGTTTGCTCAAATCTCTCTCTCCCTTCTAGCACCGAATGATATAACCTCATTGGGTCATGCGAGGAAGCAACCAACCTGAGAGATTTCCAACTTTTCCATGTAAAGGAAGAACTTCAGAGCAAGGAGAAAAGATGTAAATCTCCGAGTTAAAAGGGAGAATAAAGTAGCCTAAATATACTCACAGCTTGGACTTGCAACTGGAGGTCATTCTTCTCCTGGAGCAATGAAACCATCTTCTCCTCCAGCTCTTTTCTCCGGGTTTCTGACTTCTCCAGAGCTTCCTTCAACCTCCCGAATTCCTCTTTCATCGTCTGTGAAGAATACAAGAGTCACCAATCAATCAATCAATCAATCAATCAAAATAGAGATGGAAAGGACATTGGAGGTCCTTTCTAGAAGTCCAACCCCCTCCTCAAGCAGGAGACTTTATACCATTTCGGACAAATAGCTGTCCAGTCTCTTCTTAAAAACCTCCAGTGAAGAAGCACCTACAACTTCTGGTGGCAAGCAGTTCCACTGGCTGATTTTCTCACTAACGGGAAATTTCTCCTTACTTCCAGGTTGCTTCTCTCCTTGATTAGTTTCCATCTGTTGCTTCTTATCCTACCCACAGGTGCTTTGGAGAATAGCGTGACTCCCTCTTTTCTTTGGGAGCCCCTCAAATATTGGAAGACTGCTATCATGTCACCCCCTAGCCTATCTTTTCATTAGACTAGACATATCCGGTCCCTGCAATCATTTTTATACGCAGGCCTTTAATTATCTTACAGGTAATCCTTGACTTACAATAGTTCATTTAATGACTGCAAAGTTAGAATGGCACTGAAAAATGTGGCTTATGATCATTTTTCAAAGTTACGAGCTTTGCAGCATTCACACGATCAAAATTTAGATGCTTGGTAACTGTTTCTTATTTATGACGGTTCAGTGTCCCGGGGTCATGGGATTCCCCTTTTGCGACCTGCAACCACTGCAAACAAGGTTATAAAAAGGGTCCCACAGTCACCCACGTAATAACTAGCATGAGTTACAACCATATTTCCTGTTAGAAATCCTGTTTATATATAGCACTACAGAGCAAACAAGGAGCACAATCACCATGTGCTTTGCTGCTCAACTGTTTGGAACTGAAACAGGAAACAGGAAACTCTACTTAGAACAAAAGAGCAGAGAGTATATATATCATAGATCCAAACTTGTAAACTACTGTAGTTTTGAACTGAAACAGGAAACTCTACTTAGAACAAAAGAGCAGAGAGTATATATCATAGATCCAAACCTGTAAACTACTGTAGTTGTTGCATGGAAATATATTCCAACAATGAATTCCAACATTTCCGGATTCAATTACAGCTGTAAGTGGAGGATGCCCTGTGTAAATGTACATATAAATGTAACTCTTTTGTATTTTTAAGGTATCATTATGGGGACATTGTTTGCTGCCCAGAGTCAATTCTACGGAGACGGAAAGCTATTAAAAAGAATGAATGAATGAATGAATGAATGAATGAATGAATGAATGAAAGCGGTCACCTGCATTTCTTTCTCAGTTTCCGCGCTCTTCAGCAAAGGTTTGATCTTGAAGAACAGCTTCATCCAAGGCCAGTTTTTTACCCCCATAAAAGCTCGGATGTTGTACTGGATAATGAGCAAAGCATCCCTGGTGGAAGGGACCAAGGAGAATCACACCAAAACTTTTCAGAAAACCCTTTTCTCCCCCCGTCCCATAAAATTCACGCCTCAAAAACCCTCGGAATTTCAAAGCATTCGACTATTGTTGCAATTCAAAGCAGAATGTGAAAAAAAAGACCCCCTTTTTTTTCAGCAGTGGACTCATTTAGGGACCATTCGTGATTACAACGGTGACGAAAAAATAATTTCCTGCCCAACCCTCACATTTACGCCCTTCACAGATCTGTAAAGCAAAAGAAAGCTGGAGAAAAGTCCTAAAGATAATTGTCATTTTCACTCCATAGCTGCTTCGCTTAACGACCATATTGCTGGTCCTTGTTGCTAAACGAGGACTACCGAAATTGTTCCTTTATACTTTATAGGTTATAAGCTACTCAAAGTGGTGGGAAGTTGGGCAGCCTCTAAAATTGAATCAGCCCAAGAAATAAATCGATCAAGGAACATTCCGGAAGGTAAACCTCTAAACGCAACAAGAAATTGGTTGCGATAATAACACACTTTGCATTTCGACTATGCCTTATAAACCGTCAAGGCTGGAGTCACACAGGTGAAGCTTAAAGCCACACTGAAGTGGACTCTTGACATAGGCGAGACTGAAACAGGTGGTCCTTGACTTATAACCATTCATTTAGTGACCATTTGAAGTTACAACAGCGACTTACAACCAGTCCTTACACTTATAACCAATTTGTGTGAGCAGTGGGCTGGCACGTACGTGTATGCGTACACAGCTCAACCAGTGGAGCTATGCAGCATGTGCGTGTGGCCTGCACCGCCACTCATGTGAGTCAGTTTCAGAGGTGGTATTCAGCAGGTTCTGACCGGTTCTGGAGAACCGGTAGCGGAAATTTTGAGTAGTTCGGGGAACCGGCAAATGCCACCTCTGACTGGAGATTTTGCAGTATCATTCCCCTGCCACGCCCACCAAGCCACGCCCACAGAACTGGTAGTAAAAACATTTAAATCCCACCACGGGATGCAGCTAATTTCTTCCGCAGCCCAGTTTTGAAGAGGCTGCGGCCCGGTAGTGGGCCCCGGCCCCGGAGGTCGAGAACCTTTGCTATAGACCAGGGGTGTCAAACTGGATTTCTTCGATGGTCAGTTCAGCATTGTAGTTCTCCTCTGAAGGCCCGCTGGGGGGACAGGGAAGGGTGGGGAGATAGTACGGACGCTTCCTGCAACGCCCTTCTGGCTGAAATTGGGCCACAGGTGTACCGCATGAGAGCCTCCACGTGGCCCGTTTTTGGCCTCCACAGCCTCCTGCAACACTGCTGGCCAAAAACAGGCCGAGGCTCCCCCGCGGCCCATTTCCGGCTTCAACAGCCTCCTGTAGCACTCTGCTGGCCGAAAACGGGCCACGGGGGAGCCTCCCCCGGTGCCCCATTTGGGCCAGCAGAGACACTACAGGCGAGTCCTTTGATATTCCGACGGCGTTTAAGAAGAGGGTCTTCCTCATCTATTGACCCTTGTCCTTCTCCAGTTGAGGTCACCCTCCGTAACCTCAGGCTTCTTCTCGCGGGCTCACCTCCGCTCCATGATCTTCCGGAACTCAATGCGCATGAGTTGGCCCCTCGCCCGGGCTTGGATGCGGGTGATAATCCTGGACAGCCGTTCATCACGCAGCTCCTCCAGTTGACCCAGGAGCCCTGCCTTGAAAAACACCTGTGGGATGGGAAGAGATGGCTTTGGGTTTTGTTCGATTCGCAAAATTTAGAACAAAAATAAAATAAAATAAGCAATGTAAAAGGAAAACGTGGTTGCAAGATCCACTTGTCCAACAGATTTCTGTTTTGGTGGTCGTTTGCGCGACGGTGACTTTGAAACAGGATTTTTTTCTCCAGCTTGGCCATTTGAGGAGGTGGTGGACTTCAAGTCCCAGGATTCTCATGCAGGCTGGAGAATTCTGGGAGTCGAAGTCCACAGAGCTTCAAGTTGCCAAGGTTGAGTAACCCTACTTTAAACTAAAAACAAAATGTTTTAGCTTAAAGTCCCCCAAAAGGTAAGTCTCCTTTAAAGTCACTTGCAGATTCCCTTCCTTCCTTCCCTCCCTCCTCTCTCTCTCTTCTTCATACCATTCTCCCTTCCTTCTCCTCCCTCTCCTTCCTTCCTTCCTTCCTTCCTTCCTCCCTCCCTCCCTCCCTCCCGCCCTCCCTTTTCTTCCTCTTTCTTCATTCCATCTCCCTCCCTCTTCCTCTCTCCTTCTCCTCCTTCCCTCTCTCTCCTTCTTTCTCTCCCTCCCTCCATCCCATTCTCTTCCCTCCCTCCTTCTCCTTTCTTCCTTCCCTTTCTTCATCCCATTCTCTTCCCTCCCTCCCTTCTTCTTTCCTCCCTCCCTCCCTTCTTCCTTCCTCCCTCCCTCCCCATTTTCCCTCCTTCTCCTCCTTCCCACCCACCCTCGCTCCCCCTTTCTTCCCTCTCTTTCCTCCTTTCCCTCCCTCTCTCTTTTCTTCCTTCATCCCAATCTCTCCCCTCCTCTTCCCTCCCTCCCTTCTCCTTTCTTCCCTCCCTTTCTTCATCCCATTCTCCTCCCTCTCTCCCTCCTTCATCCCTTCCTCTCTCCCTCCCCATTCTCCCTCCATCTCCTCCCACCCTTCCTCCCTCTCTTTCCTTCCTTCCTTCCTTCCTTCCTTCCTTCCTTCCTTCATCCTTTCTCCCCCCCACTTCTCATCCCTCCTTTCCTGTTGTAAGTTGAGGACTATGGGAAAAGGGATTTGCTCGCCTCACCTTGGTGTGTCCAAATTTGTACTGGTTGTGGTCAATGTCCAGCGAGCTTAGAAGTTTCTCAGCCCCCTTCCGGCTGTCGATGAACTGACCCTCCGGAATGGCTGCTGGGTTTAGGATCCGGTACCTGGCGAGAAAGGAAAAATTAGGCTGTATTCTTTTGCTAAAGGTTAACTGAGATTTCACCAGAAAGAGAAGTAGCCAAATGCTTGCGGGGTTCTCGCCCCAAAACCTACTGCTTAACCATTTCAGCATCCGGTAGAGCGTACAGTTGCTCCTCGACTTACAACCAACACTAAACAAGGCACTTGTTAATAGCCATCATAACAGCAATAGATTTTAGGCTCCTATATCAACCTTCTTTCCAGACCTCTCCGAGTGGTTTACAGATTCAGCATCTTGGCCTCCCATCAGTCTGGGTCCTCGTTTTACCAACCTCGGAAGGACGGAAAGCCGAGTTGACTTTAAGCTGGTCAGGATCAAACTGCTGGCAGTGGGCAGAGTCAGCCTGCAATACCGCATTCTGACCACTCTGCCACTATGGCATCTTAAGCGAGATGAACCTGATTTCATGATGCCTATTTATGCTTAACAGTTAATAAGCGAATCATGGGGTTGTTAAGCAAATCATGGGGTTGTTAAGCAAATCATGGGGTTGTTAAATGAATCAAACTCCCACCGCCCTGACTTTGCTTGTTGCAAAGGTTGCAGATGGCAGTGGCATTTTTCTGGGACATTGTAAACATGTCAGTTGCCAAGCCCTGAATACTGTTTGTGTGCCCGTGGGGATGCTGACACAGTCATAAGTGCGAGGACTGGTTGTAAGTCCCTTCCCCCCCAGTCCCATTGTAACTTCAGACACTCAAGAAAGGAACGGTTGTAAGTTGAGGACCACCGATATAGGAATAGATTGCCGCTGACCTCTGGGAGGGTTTGTCAACTCTGTAGTCTATAAAGTTTTCATCTCCTGGTGGTCTCCCATCCAAACCTGGCCCTGCTTGCTTTCTAAGGACAGAATGGCTGCTGCCATTTGTTGCTACCATTACAGTAAGAGACAGAATAACAGAGTTATAACAGAGTCTAGCCCCCTCAGGCAGGAAACCCTAATACCATTTCGGACAAATGGCTGTCCAATCTCTTCTTAAAACCTTCCAGTGTTGGAGCGTTTTGCAACTTCTGTTGGCAAATCATCCCACTGATTAATTGTCAGGAAATTTCTCTTTCGTTCTAAGTTGCTTCTCTCCTTGTTTAATTTCCCTCCAATTGCTTCTTTGGGGGCAAGGCCTTAGATATTGGAAGACTGCTATCCTGTCTCCCCTGGGTCCTTCTTTTCATTAAACTAGACATACCCAATTCCTGCAACTGTTCTCCGTATGTTTTAGTCCTGTAATTATATTATCCAGCTTTGGTCACCATACTATAAAAAAGAGGTTGAGACTCTAGAAAGAGGACAGAGAAGAGAAACCAGGATGATAAGGGGACTTGAGGCTAAAACATACAATGAACGGTTACAGGACCTGGCTAGTCTAGTGAAGAGAAGGACCAGGGGAGACAGGATAGTAGTCTTCCAATATTTGAGGGGCTGCCACAGGGAGGAAGGAGGGGGTCAGGGGTGGGATTCAAATTTTTTAACAACCGGTTCTGTGGGCATGGCTTAGGTGGTGGGCATAGCTTGGTGGTCATGTGACTGGATGGGCATGGCTTGTTAGTCATGTGACTGGATGGGTGTGGCTAACTCAACATCACTCACATCGAGGCACGCATCTCCTCGCCTGGCCTCTCATGACTGTGGGAATGCTGCAACAGTCGTAAGTGTGAAAAATGGTGATAAGTCACTTTTTTCAGTGCCATTGTAACTTTGAATGGTGACTCCACACATCAAAGTACCAGCAAAGGAGGGGGAAAAAAATCTCCAGAGACAGGAAGTCCAGTCCTGCCAAGAATGTAATAAGGGTTAACGGAGAGGCAGTTTGTGTAAGCAACACCAGAATGTTTCCTTCTTGCCTTCCTTACAGGATTAGGCCAGTAATTTCTTCTAACAACAGGTTCTCCGAACTGCTTAGAATGTTAATAACCGGTTCTAGCAAATAGGTGCAAACTGGTAGAATCCCACCCCTGGAGGGGGTCAAACTATTTTCCAAGGCACCGAAGGCCAGATAAGGAGCAATGGATGGAAACTGAACAAGGAGAGATTCAGCCTGGAAATAAGGAGAAATTCTTGATAGCGAGGACAATTAACCAATGGAACAGAAGTTTCCTTCGGAAATTGTGGGCGCTTCATCCTCTTTCGAGAAGAGCCTGGACTGCCATCTGTCAGAAACGGTGTAGGGTCTCCTGCTTGGGCGGCGGGTTGGACTAGATGACCTACAAGGTTCCTTCTGACTCTGTTGACCTGTTATTATTATTTTCTGTATCTCTGAACTCTTTGCAGAGTCTCAACATCTTTTTTTCACACCGTGGCGACCAAAAACCAGATGCCGTATTCCAAGTGCGGCCTGGCCAATAAAGCGGCATTATTAACGCTTCACGCAATCTTGATTCTCTGCCTCTGTTTGGCAGTGCGAAGTGACCCTCCCAACGCTCAAGGAGTGGGAATCACCTTTGCCTGAAATCCCCGTAGAGGATCCGGTTGGGGAATCCTTTCCGGCAGATCCGTATTCCCTCCAGAACGCCGTTGCAACGTAACTGGTGCATGACCAAGGGGTTGTCCATCACACCTGAGGAAGAAAACGAGAGGCAGAGAGTAAATGAAAAGTAAGAATACTATCCTCCCCTCAGAAAAATGCATCCTAGGCCCACTCTCTGGATTCACACAACCGCACTAAACCTACAGGGCATAAACACACACACACACGCACACACACAAATGATGGGTTTGTGTATCAGAAAGTGGATTTACGCTCAAGAAATGAAAGAATATGGATTATGCAACCTGTTGTAACGGAAAGGTAGCCCTCCTACTTACCACCACAACCGAGCCCAAGATTTCCGTTGCTAAAGCGAGGCATTGTTAACTGAGTTTCGGCCCATTTTAGGACCTTTCTTGCCATGGTCGTTAAGTGAATCACTGCCATTCTTAAGTTAGGGATATGGTCGTTAAGTGAATCTGGCTCCCCCCCAATTGAGCTTGCTGGTCAGAACGTCGCAAAAAGGGATCATATGACCCCGTCACAAATATGAGTCAGTTGCCAAGTGGCTGAATTGTGAGATGCTGCCATGGCCGTAAGTGTGAAGAACGGTCATAAGTTGCTTTTTTCAGCGCTGCTGTAACTTTGAGCAGCCACTAAATGAATGGTTGCTATTTGAGGACTACCTGTACTCCAGCCGGGAGCAATTCTGCAGTTCACCCTCTCTAGAGATCTCATGCAGCTAGTCCTCAGCTTACACTGGTTCACTTAGTGATCGTTCAAACTGACAATGGCGCTGAAAGAAAAGTGACAGGACCATTTTTTCACACTTACGACCGTGGCGCCATCCTCCTGGTCTAGTTATCCGAGTTCATGCACTTGGCAACTGACTCGTAGTTATGACTGTCGCACTGCCCCGGGGATCAGGGGATTCCCCTTTTGCGACCTTCTGATGAGTAAAAGTCAACGGGGAAGCCAGATTCACTTAACGACCATGTGACTCGCTTAACACCTGTGATTCACTTCATCACAGCGGCAAGAAAGGTCGCAAAACGAGGCAACTGAACAGATGCCTGACTTAGGACCGTAAGTTGTGGGTTCAGTTGGGGTCGTAAGTTGAGGACTGGCTGTGATTTCCGTGCCGGATGTCGCCTTTCCCCCTTGCCGTAAAATGCATCTGATACGTGCATTTTTTCCCGCCTTGAATTTTGCAGAAGGATCGGCTGCTTCCTAAGGCTGAGAAAAGCGACGGCATCAGCTTGTCTGCAAAGGAGTTGCTATCTCTGGCAGCAAGGTTGATGCCATGTGTGTGTGTGTGTGTGTGTGTGTGTGTGTGTGTGTGTGTGTGTGTGTAATTTGGGTCCATGCTCTGACCCTTGACCCCTTAACTTCCGGGAAGAAAAGAAGAAAGCACTTCCTTTTTTCCGTTTCCTTCCTGGCTGAAGGAATCTTGCGTGCGAGAGCTTCCCAGGCTGAACGCCTGGCTGCCCCACCCCGCTCAGCGGATCCCTTTGGTTCCCCCACTGGGATTACCGGGGGCCTTTCGCTCGTTGGGGATGAGGCACCGCACGAAATGAGGGTGGGTGGTCTTGAGGTTGGCCATCAACTTGTTGAGGTTCTCCTGCCAGAAGAAAAGATGGAACAGATCAGGCGGAGAGAGGAGGAGAGCAGAGATAGAGGGAGGAAGGGAGGAAGGAGGGAAGGAGAAAGGAAAAGAGGAGAGAGAGAAGGAACAGAGGGAGGGAGGAGAGAGGAAGGAAGGATAAAGGAGGAGAGAGAACAGGAACAAAGGGAGAAGAGAGGAAGGAAGGAAGGAAGGAAGGAAGGAAGGAAGGAAGGAAGGAAGGAAGGAAGGAAGGAAGGAAGGAAGGAAGGAAGGAGGAGAGAGAGAAGGAACAGGGAGGGAGAAGAGAGGAAGGAAGGATGGAAGGAGAAAGGAGGAGAGAGAACAGGAACAAAGGGAGAAGAGAGGAAGGAAGGAAGGAGAAAGGAGGAGAGAGAGAAGGAACAGTGGGAGGGAGAAGAGAGGAAGGAAGGATGGAAGGAGAAAGGAGGAGAGAGAACGAACAGAGGGAGAAGGAAGGAAGATAGAGGAGAAATGGAAGGAGGGAGAGAGGAAGGAAGGAGAGAGGAGGAGGACAGGGACAGGGAGAGAGAAATGTTCATTGTGTTTCTCCTTGCAAACTCCAATAAACCAATAATTGGCATCTACTTGTATGGCCTTCAACTCCCAGAATTCCCCAGTCAGCATGCCACGTTCGGACAACCCTGCTGTAAACAAGGCCCCGAAACCTCCAGTTCGCTCTGAAGCCCTGACCTCTGCCCTCACGGAGGGGGGGATGCCCCGTGTTCCTCAGAAAGGAGAGGAAGACCTCTGAGAAAGGTTCCCCCCCAACTGACAGGATTGCCCCCAGCCCCAGGGTTCCCCCCCACCAGCCCCTCCTTGTAGGCCAGGGGTCTCCACCCTTGGAAACTTTAAGCCTGGGCAGACTTCAACTCCCAGAATTCCCCAGCCAGCTGAATTCTGGGAGTTGAAGTCCGCCCAGGCTTAAAGTTGCCAAGGGCGGAGACCGTGTTGTAGGCGACCCAGAACCCCCTTTCTCAGCGCCGAGGTTCCCATCTCGTACCCGGTGAAGTGCTGAGACGGTCTGGAAGGAGGAGCCTTTCTTCTTGGATCCTTTGCCCTTCCCGCCATCTCCGCCTGGGGGAAGAAGAGAAGGCTGACGGAGGGAGGCCGGTGCAGGGCTCTCTCTCATCTGCACAAGCACAGGGAGTCCTCGACTTACAACAATTTGTTTAGCGACCAAAGTTAAGGCGGCCCTGAAAAAAGTGATTTATAGCTAGTCCTCACCCTAATGATCTTTCCTTTTCTTTCCTTTCCTTTTTTTTGGTTCCTTTCCTTTCCTTTTTTCTATCTTCCTTTCCTTTTTCTATCTTTCTTTTCCTTTTTCTATCTTTCTTTTCCTTTTTCTGTCTTCCTTTCCTCTTTTCTCTCTTCCTTTCTTTTTCCTTTTTTCTATCTTTCTTTTCCTTTTTCTATCTTCCTTTCCTTTTATTCCTTTCCTTTTCTTTTCTTTTCCTTTCCTTTTTTTGTTTTTCTTTTTCTATCTTTCTTTCTTTTTCTTTCCTTTTTCTTTCTTTCCTTTTTCTTTTCCTTTCCTTTTCCTTTCCTTTTCCTTTTTCTTTCTTAACTTTTTCTATCTTTCTTTCCGTACCTTTTTTCCTTTCCTTTCCTCTCCTCTCCTCTCCTATTTTCCTTTCCATTCCATTCCTTTCCTTTCCTTTCCTTTCCCTTCGCTTTCCTTCCCTCCTTCCCTTCTTTCTTTTCCTTTCCCTTTGCTTCCCTTCACTTCCCTTCGTTTCCCTTCCCTCCTTTCCTTTCCTTTCCTTTCCTCTCCTCTCCTCCTCCCTCCCTTTCTCATCCCTGATTTATAGCTTTCTAAACTAGACCCCACCACTTTCTGGTTTGTGTCTCTTCCAATCATCCCCTTTGCCTTCTCCAGGACATTCCCAAGCTGTTGAGGACCCTCAACAGCAGAAGATAAGGCCCACTGGACCTCAACACCAGAAGCTGATGAGCAAAGAGCCACCTTCGTTAACCCTGAATGCCGGTCACTCAATAATTCCCGAGAGGCCTTCATATCGACTCTCCAAGAGGTCCTCAGTTGGCGTTTTCCGCAGCATCTCCAGGTCAAGACCAGCCCGGAGACGCAGAAGGTTTCAAGCCAGCCATGACATCATTCTCTCTTTCCGCTTCCCTTCCCAATCTCACCCGCCTCACTGCCAGCGTAGCTGGAGAACAGCGTGGCCAAGAGCTTCAAGGCCGACTTCTGGAAGAGGGCCACCACGGTCTCATTGAGGGGGTCCTTATTCTTCTCCAACCACCCGTTGATGTTGTAGTCCACGGTGCCAGCGTAGTGTACCAGGGCAAAATGAGCCTCCGGTTTCCCCTTGGTGTTGCGGGCTTTGCCGAAGTTGGCCGATTTGCCCAGGTGGTTGTCGTAGAGCTTGGCCTTGAAGGTCATGTCGGTGGCCTTGGGGAACATGCATTCTTCTTCCAGGATGGACATGATGCCCAGAGGCTGACCCCGAAAGATGGAGAGGAAAGGGACAACAATGAGGACAGAAAGAACGGGGAAATAAAATTAACCTTCCTGGAAGTCAAGCAACCTTTCTACACAATATATATCCCAAAGGTGCTTTTATTTTCCCCAAGAGGCAACCAGACTTTCTGGGTTTTATTTTTCTTTGAAGACATTTCGCTCCTCATCCAAGAAGCTTCTTCGGCTCTATCAACCTTCTTGGATGAGAAGCGAAATGTCTTCAAAGAAAAATAAAACCCGGAAAGTCCAGTTGCCTCTTGAAAACAAACCACCTTTGGGATAACCATGACCTGGATCAGGGATCACCAATCTTTTGGACCTCAGGGGCCACAAAATTCATGATTTTAAATCCCGCGGACCACTAACACGATCTGCCTAATGGTCAGCTGTGTGGGCGTGGTTAGGTAGTCATGTGACTGGAGGGGTGTGTGTGGCCAATTCGATGTCACTCGTGTTGAGGGACACCTCGCCGGCCTTTACTGGTCCCTCCCCTCCCAGCCCCTCCCCGGACTCCTCAGGGCCCCCCAACAGGAAGCAGTGGTTGGAGCTAATCAGGCCCCAGGAGAAAGAGTTGGCCAAACAGCTGGCTCAGTTCCAATTGGATCTGGCCAGGAAGAAGGCTCGGCAGAAGCACCTCACTGAGGACTAGGAGCATAGGCTTTCCAAGCAGAGGGAAGGCCTGCGGGAGTGCAAGGCCAGGCACCGGGAGGCTCAGCGGGCTGAGATGGTCCAACCACTGGAACGAGGCTCTTCGGCACCAGCGGCCCTTCCCTCCAGCCTTCGCCCAAAACCCCGTGCCAGGAGGTTGAAGCAGACCCCAAGCCGGAATTTCTGACCCCCTCTGACCCACACAAAAAGACCCCAAAGGGGGAGACTCTCTGCAATATGAATGTCCATTGCACTTATCTGGCCCTGACTTAGTACAATTATGCAAATAATTCTTTTGTGGACCACCAACATTTTCTCACAGGCCACCAGTTGGTGACCGCTGACCCAGATGACTGAGAATCTCCATAGACATCTGTCTACAGCAAGGGTCTTCAAACTTGGCTAACTTTAAGACTTGTGGACTTCAACTCCCAGAATTCCTGAGCTAACGTGACCAGAGAGGGGAATTCTGGGAATTGAAGTCCACAAGTCTTAAAGTTAGCTGAATTTTAAGACTTGTGGACTTTAACTGGAGATCCTTGATCAAGATACAAGTATTTCTTGAATGACCATTCTTTGTTTAGTGATTGTTCAATGTTACAACAGCACTGAAGAAAGTGACTTATAACCGTTTTTCACACTTACGACCAGGGGTGGGCTTCAAAAATTTTAGCAGTTGGTTCTCTGCCTAGTTGCTGGGTGGGCATGGCCATGGTGGGCGTGGCCCAGTCAGCCTCCTGCACCATGGCGGAGGGGATGTTTTTGCCTTTCCTGGGCTCCGGGAGGGCAAAAATGGCCTCCCCAGAGGCCCTCAGGAGGCCGGAAACCTGGTGGCTCCAAGGGGGGCCATTTTCTGCCCTTATCTGCAATCCAAAATGGGCCACATGGAGACTCCAGGGAGGGGAGGGGTGGGCGGGTCCAGCTAGGGGTGGGATTTGCTGGTTCACCAAACTGGCTATAAAATTAGCTACCAATTAGCTAAGGGTTTGCCCGAACTGGGGCGAACTGGTAGCAGCCCACCCCTGCTTACGACTGTTGCAGCATCCCCACAGCCATGTGATCAAACTTAGATGCTTGCAGACTTAACGGCTAGCATGATATGACCATAAGTCGTAAGTCATGGTAAGCATTGAGCTGATAATACAGGAATACCGTATTATCGTCCAATTCTGATATCCCCAGACTAACCAGAAATTGCTGTCAGTGTTCCAACGATTGCCCTAATTAAATCATGAGCCCCTCCTTCTTACGGCAACTCAAAAACAGGCACAGGAATGATTTACGAGTTGACAGTTGTGAGTTCTCCAACACTGGAGGTTTTTTAAAGAAAAAATTAGACAGCCATTTGTCTGAAATAAATATAGGTATGGTGTCTCCTATTTCAGAAGGGAGTTGGACTATAAGACCTCCAAAATCCCTTCCAACTCTATTATTCCGGTTTAACCAGAACAATCATCAGATCTTCCTAGAATCTTTTACTCTCAAGTTATCGAGGGGTTGTTATCCCGCTCCAAATAACCCAACTGTTGTTCAGAGGAGCTCATCTGAGATACGTTTTGGAGAACCAACGATAGAAGGTTCACCCAATCCCCCCCGCTTACCTTCTCAATGAGGTCAATGCAGGCCTGGAGGTCCATGCCGAAGTCAATGAACACCCATTCGATGCCCTCCTTCTTGTACTCCTCTTGTTCCAGCACAAACATGTGATGGTTAAAGAACTGCTGCAGCTTCTCATTGGTGAAGTTGATGCAGAGCTGCTCGAAGCTGTTGAACTGGGAGGGGGGGAAAAAACAAAATTATGGACCACCCAAAGTCAACCCATCAATGTGGGTCACGCAGGTCTCATCCTGTTCCCTGTAGATCTCGCAGTGACGGACTTACGTCAAAAATCTCAAATCCAGCAATGTCCAGCACACCGATGAAATACTGCCGAGGTTGCTTGGTCTCCAAAGAGTTGTTGATTCTGACTACCATCCAGCTGAACATTTTCTCATATACGGACTTGGCCAGGGCCCCGATGGAATAATACACCTGGGTGGAATGGAGAGACCAGGAATTTACATAGTGAAACCTTAGAATAATAGACTTGGAAAGGAACCTTGGAGGTCTTCTAGTTGAACTCCCTGCTCGACCAGGAGACCCTATTGTTAGGGTTCTGGCGATCGCCCTCATTAAATCATGAGCCTCCAGCCAAGCTTCGAAAGAATCCAAAAGATTTATTAGGAGCAACATGCCAGCATTAACCTAAATGAAACCAACTCTGGCATATGTAATTCACAGTCACCTGTGACCCTGTCTCCCCCACCCCACTCCCGTGTCATAAATCAGATTCTCCAATGAAGCACGTTCACGGGCCGGGTGTCATCAATCACATTCTCCAATTAAGGATTTTCAATGCCAGAAGACCCAGTTGCCTGGTTAAAATCTTTTAAGATAAGGGTGGAATGTACTTCTGGTTTACTGCTGTATTGCTCCGTCAGATTCCCTACCCGCTTGTCTACGGCAACTTGAAAACAGGCCCAGGAATGTTTTATGAGTTGACACCTATATCCTTTCAGATAAATAGTTTTTACTTATTTATTTATTTGATTTGTCAATCGCTTACAAGATAATAGGTATAAGTATATACATAGTTATGAATACATGAAATGGGTACGTATAAGAAAAATAAAAAAGAAACAATAGGACAGAGACGGTAGGCACGTTGGTGCGCTTATGCACGCCCCCTACAGGCCTCTTAGGAAAGGGGTGAGGTCAATAGTAGACAGTCTAAGGTTAGTTTTTGGGGTTTGGGGAAGAAACCACAGAGTCAGGTAGAGAATTCCAGACATTGATCACTCTGTTGCTGAAGTCGTATTTCCTGCAATCAAGTTTGGTGCGATTAACCTTGAGTTTGTATCTATTGTTTGTTCTTGTATTGTTATGGTTAAAGCTGAAGTATTCATTGACAGGTAGGACATTGCAATGTATGATTTTATATACCATGCTTAGATCAGACCAAAGACGGCGTAATTCAAGGCTTTCTAGTTCTAGAATTTCAAGTCTGGTGGCATAAGGTATTCTGCAACGAGTAGATGAGTGGAGAACTCTTCTTGTGAAATATTTCTGGACTTTCTCAACTGTGCTAATATCAGATACGGAATGTGGGTTCCAGACTGATGAGCTGTATTCAAGTATTGGTCTAGCAAATGTTTTGTATGCTCTAGTTAATAGTGAAATATTTCCAGAGAAAAAGCTACGTAGGATTAGGTTAACAACTCTTAATGCCTTTTTGGCTATGTAGTTGCAGTTAGTTGTCCAGTCTCTTTTTGAAAGCCTCCAGTGATGGCATCCACAACTTCTGGAGACTACCTAATACAGGGGTGTCAAACTCAATTGATTGGATCCAGTCCATGGGGCCATCCTAGAAAATGTAAGGGGGCGGCCCATGTCACATGGGCCCAGTCTACCCAATACAAAGAGGAAAGATCAGGCCAGTGAAGCTTCGGCCGGGTCTACCCAACACAAACAGGAAACAGGACACGCCAGCAGTTTGGGGAGTGGTGCCAAGCAGACCATGCCCACCCAGTTGGCCACACCCACCCAGTCACACCCACCCAGGAGGGGGAGGAAGATTGTGGGGACCTTGGTGCTATCTCTGAGCTTAGTTGTTTTCTTGCAGACGTTTCATCACCCAACTAGGGAACATCATCAGTGCTAATTAGGTTTCAATGGGTAATGAAACATCTGTAGATAACAGCCAAGTTCAAGACAGCACCAAGGACCACTCCCCAATTGTAACTTCCCACAATGCCACAGGATTCTCCTCTACCAGGAGCATTGTGGGATGCAAAAATGGCTACCTCCATCTATGTTAAGAGCCCTTTCCAGTCCTTAAATGGTCCCATTTAGAAGTCCCTCCCCTTGGCATTTTGATCCTGTCTTTATCTTCTGAAAGAAACACGAGAGCCAGATGGGCTCAAACCAATGTTGGTTTTGTTCCACCCCAGTCAGACAGTCGCCTCCCTAAAGCCAATAATCAGGGTTTAAGAACAGCAAACTTCCCCTAATCCTGCGAGCATCCCTCAATTGATTGATAAGTCGATCTAAACCCCCTATCAGGATTTTAAGAGGGGATATAAATAGATAAAAAAAGAGAATAAATCTCATCTGGGATCACCTGCAATCAAAGGGATCATGAAACTAAGGCTAACTTTTTTTTTACACTGGTAATTTTACACAATTGGAGAATGATTAACAATACAGGTAGTCCCCAATTTTACAACCACAATTGACCCCAAAATTTCCGTGGCTAAGCGAGACAGCTGTTAAGTTGCCCCGTCTTAGGAGTTGTTAAATGAATGGCTTCCATTTTTTAAGTTAGTCACACGGTCGTTAAATGAATTTGGCTTCCCCACTGACTTTGCTTGCCAGAAGGTCGCAAAAGGAGATCGCGTGACACAACCCCGCCCCCACCCCCGGTTACTGCGACTGTCATAAATACGAGTCAGTGGCCAAGCGTCTGAATTTTGATTGTGTGGGGAAGCTTGGACGGTCGTAACTGTGAAAAACGGTTATAACTCACTTTGTTTTAGTGATGTTATAACTTTGGTCATTAAAATGATGGTTTGCTAGTTGAGAACTACTTATAATAGCCCAGGTATCATTTTATAGCCATTTCTCTGCCCTCAATTTCCAGTGTTTGAAAGAAGAAATATCTGAGTAAAACGCCTGTTTTTCAGCTTCTGAACAATGCTGACCCACGCTATTAGAAAGAGACAAAGCTATCAGCCAGGATTTGGAAGCTGTTGTGTACTTGTGGGTTGCTTTGGGTTTTGGGTTCCAGCTGTCACGGACATAGCTGAACGCTGTTGGTGGGACAGGTGTTTGCTGAGCCTGGCTCCCCGGGAATCCCCAACTACAAAATCTGCAGATTCCAAAGTGAAAGGGAAAATGCTAAGGCCTTGGCAAGACTACTCTTGGAATTTGCATCCAGTTTGGGTCACCATGATATATAAAAAAAGATGAGACTCTGGAAAGAGTGCAGAGAAGAGCAACCAAGATGATGAGGGGGCTGGAGGCTGCAGGAACTCGGGATGACTAGTCTAGTGAAAAGAAGGACTAGGGGTGACTAGAGTAGAATAGAAATAGGAACATAATAGAATAACAGAGTTGGAAGGGACCCTGGAGGTCTTCTAGTCCAACCCCCTGTTAGACAGGAAACCCCTACAGCACTTCAGACAAATGGTTATCTAAGCTATTCTTAAAACCTTCCAGTGTTGGAGTATTCACAACTTCTTGAGGCAAGTTGTTCCACTGATTAGTTGTTCTCAGGAAATTTCTCCTTAGTTCTAAGTTGCTCCTGTCCCTGATTAGTTTCCACCCGTTGTTTCTTGTCCTGCCCTCAGGTGCTTTGGAGAATAGCTTGACTCCCTCTTCTTTGTGGCAAGAGAGGAGAGGAGAGGAGAGGAGAGGAGAGAAGAGAAGAGAAGAGAAGAGAAGAGAAGAGAAGAGAAGAGAAGAGAAGAGAAGAGAAGAGAAGAGAAGAGAAGAGAAGAGAAGAGAAGAGAAGAGAAGAGAAGAGTCTTACACTTAGGCAAGAAAAACCAAAAGTACACATGGACTGGGGTGAAACCAGGCTCAATAGTAGTAGCTGTGAGAGGGATTTTGGAGTCTTAGTGGACAACTAGTTAAATATGAGCCAGTATTGTGCAGCGGCAGCCAAACAAGCCAATGCAATCCTAAATCGTATTAATGGAGGGATACAATCCAGATCAAGGGAGGTACTAATACCAATCTATAAAGTCTTAGTAAGGCCACACCTAGAGTACTGCAGCCAGTTTTGGTCACCACACTTATAAAAAGATGTTGAAACTCTAGAAAGAGTGCAGAGAAGAAGAGCAACCAGGATGATAAGGGGACTTGAGGCTAAAACATAGGATGAATGGTTGAAGGAACCGGGTCTGGCTAGTCGAGGGAAGAGAAGGACCAGGGAGACAGGATAGCAGTCTTCCAATATTTGAGTGGCTGCCGCAGAGAGGAGGAAGTGGGACAGGCTATTTTCCAAAAGTCCAGACAAGGAACAATGGATGGAAATTGATCAAGGAGAGAAATAAGGAGAAATTTTCTGACAGAGAGAACAATCAACCCATGGAACAGAAATTGCCTTCGGAGGTTGTGGGAGCTTCATCACTTTCGAGAAGAGACTGGACTGCCATTTGTCACAAATGGTCTAGGGTCTCCTGCTTGGGCGGTGGGGTTGGACTAGATGACCTACAAGGTCCCTTCCAACTCTGTTAATCTGTAGGAGAAGAGAAGAATGAAAGATAGGGTTGGATAGGACAGGATAGGATAGAACAGGTCACAAAATAAAATAGATTACAGGACTGGAATGGAATGGAATGGAATGGAATAAAATGAAATAAAATAAAATAAAATAAAATAAAATAAAATAAAATAAAATAAAATAAAATAAAATAAAATAAAATGAAATGAAATGAAATGAAATAAATGGAATAAAACAAAACAAATAGAATAGAATAAAATAAATATAATAGGAAGTTGGAGGGACCTTGGAGGTCTTCTAGTCCAACCCCCTACTTAGCTAGGAAACCCTGCACCACTTCAGACAAATGGTTATCCATTCTTCTTTAAACCTGAAGGCAAAAATTGTACAACTGCTTAATTGTTCTGACTGCCAGGAAATTCCTCCTTAGTTCTAGGTTGCTTCTCTCCTTGATTGGTTTCCACCCGTTGCTTCTTGTCCTGCCTTCAGCTGCTTTGATAGCATCTTCCAATAAAGGTAGTCCTCAACTTACAGCAGTTTGTTCAGTGACCATTCAAAGCTGCAAGAGCACTGAAAAATTGAACTTACGGCCGTTTTTTCATAGGGACGACCTTTGCAGCGGCTCCCCGTGCTCATGTGATTAAAAATCAGGTGCTTGGCAACCGGTTCACCTTTATGACGGTCGCAGTGTCTCGGAGGGGGGAGGCGTCACACAATTCCCCTTTCGCAACTTTCTAAAGAGCAATGTCAAAGGGGAAGCTAGATTCTCTAAACAACCAAGTTACTCACTTACCAACTGCAGGGAATTGACCTAAGGACCGTGGCAAGAAAAGTCGTTAAATGGGGTGAAACTCACTTAACACATGTCTCACTTAACAATGGAAAATTTGGGCTCTGTGGTGGTCATAAGTCAAGGACCGCCTGTACTGAATTCTCCCCAGGGCCCTCTTTTGTACTGAGGAAATGCGCCCCTTTTAAGGATTGCAAGGTCGAAGTTCAACAGGTGCTGTTATCCCAATTTGTGTAGTTCTGGGACAAGCTTGGCCAAGTCCAAAGACCTTCCCTGTTGACCATCTCCGACCGAGCCTAGCAGTAGGGAGCATCCTTACCTGTTGGACATTTTGCCCTTTGGTGACGTATTCGTTGCCGACCTTCACTCGGGGGTGACACAGCCCCTTGACTAAGTCGGCCGAGTTGAGACCCATCAAATAAGCAGATTTATCAGCATCTGGAGAGTAAAAGAAACGCAGGGCCGGTTCAGACCGGTTTGGCCAAATCTCTAGCTCCGAGGATCAGCGGGGAGAGAATCGGTTTGCTCTAACAATCATGGGCCCGCCCGCCTGCTCGTGCACTGTACTGATGTTGATCGTCCCAGTTGATCAGCATGGAAGAGCAGATTGCTGCTCCTCAGCTGTGTTACTCCCCCAAAGTAACATAGCAGGTAAGGATTTTTGCATCGGTGTTCAGGTGCATGCAGCACACGTCAGGCGTGCATGTGTGTGAAGTGTGCGTGAGCGCACAAAGCACATGATCACCGAAACGGTTGTTATACTGGCAGCATCCCACCTCTGAAGAAACGGTTCTGGCAAATTTCACGCGAACGTAAACAAGAAAGATTTCCAGCCTTGTGAGATATTCCTATTCTGATGTTCTCTTCCTTCCATAGAAGCCTTCTTCTTCCACGACACTCAGTGGAGACCTTCTCTATCAGTCTTCTTCCCAAAATGTTTCCCTCTACCCCTGAAATTCCCAACCACCAATAGAATTCTGGAACCAGTAGAGCAACACAATTGGAGGATAATGTTGAGAAAGACCCTATCATTCCATCTACAACTTCTCCAGCCCTTTTTCCTTTGTCCTAAGATCTATTGTTTTCCCACTGTTAGACATGCTGTTTATATATGGCACCATAGAGCAAACAAAGAGAACAGTCATCATGTGCTTTACTGCTGAACTGTAACTGTAATAGGAAACAGGAAACTCTACTTAGAACAAAAGAGCAGGTACCACAGATCCAAACTTGTAAACACTGCCATCTACTGGTTGAATATTACTGCAGTTGTTGCCTAGAAATATATTCCAACAATGAATTCCAACACTCACCCTCAGTCCCATCAGGCTCAGCCTGTTCTTCTCGCTGCTTCTGCTTGAACTTCATGTTCCCGTAGTGCATGATGGCCCCCGTCAGCTTGTAGACACCCACTTTTTCCTCAGGGGTGAAGCCCAGGACGTCAAAGGCACTCTGAGAGGAAAAGGGATAGGTGAGTAGAAAGTCACAAGGTCCATGAAACGTGAAGAGAACATTTGAGTTTGCTCCCTATTCCTGAAAGGTTGGTGAACCTCAACTTACATCGGTAGCCATTAGCTCTTCAGAGTCATCAATGGAGGCCACTGTTACTTCTCCTTGGGAGACGTAGTGGTAGTCGTAAGGGTTGTTGGTGACCAACAGGAGATCTGTTAGGTAAGAACAGAGGAAAAGCAAAGTTATGAGGTGAGCTTATTCATAACACAGGCAGTCCTCGACTTTCGACCACAACAGGTCCCCAAAAATCTAGGTTGTTAAATGAGACATTTGTTAAGTGAATTTTACAACCTTTCTTACAGCAGCTGTTAAGTGAATCACTGTGTCAACTCCTAAAGCCTGTTCTCAAGTTGCCATAGGCAGGAGGGGGAGAAACTGATGGAGCAGCCCAGCAGCCACAACCAGAAGCACATTCCACACATATCTTCTTCAAGGCTGTATCTCAGGCTACCGGGACTAACCAGAGAGGAGTCATGATTTCTATAGCCCACGAAAGTGCTCCGTTGGAGAATGTGATTTATGACACACCTTGGGAGGAGGGGGGAAACAGGGTCATAGATGGGCTGTAAATTACGTCAGGCAAAGCTGACTTCCTTTGCATATGTGCAGACATGTTGCTCCTAATAAATAACTGGATTTCTTTTGAAACTTGGCTCGAGGCTCATGGTTTAATTAGGACATCCATCAGAACCGTGACACATTACTGTTGTTAAATTACTCACACTGTTGTTAGGTAAATCTGGTTTCCCCATTGACTTTGCTAATCAAAAGGTCCACAAAAGGGGATCCCATGACCCCTGGGACACTCTGATCGTCATAATTCTGAGTCAGTTACCAAGTGCCCAATTTTTTTTAAAAAAATATATTTTTTATTGTTTACAACTGAAGGTGTACAACTACAGTGCAGCCATTTTGGTGTTAGATTTGCAATACATACAAAGATATTGCTAAACCAATAACATTCATATTATTGATACCGTATTTGCTTTTTGGTTCTATTCATCCTGGCTATTTTTGTTCCGACCTTCCCTTCTTTTTTGTAACCCACTGATAAAGCTTATTGTAAGCTTTATAATAATAATCTGATTTCCCTCTTATTTTTCAAGTCTAAGGTTAGCTTGTCCAATCCTGAACAAGCCATTATTTTCCTTATTCTCTTCCTGGTAGTATGATTTCATTCTTCCAATATTGGGCATATATCATTCTCACCACTGTCAAAACAAGTATAATTAAACATGCTACAACTTTCCTATAACCTTCTGTCATTATCCCCAAGAGCAATAATTCTGGTTTAAACCAGGGGTGGGATTCTACCGGTTCGCATCTAGTCTCTAGAACCGGTTGTAAACATTCTAAGAGGTTCAGAGAACTGGTTGTTACAAGAAATTACTGGCCTAATCCTGTAAGGAAGGCAGGAAGGAAACATTCTGGTGTTGCTTACAGAAACTGCCTCTCCGCTAACCCTTATTACATTCTTGGCAGGACTAGATTTTCTGTCTCAGGAACGTCTTTGGAGTTTTTTTTCCCTCCTTTGCTGGTGTGGAGTGACCATTCAAAGTTACAGTGGCACTGAAAAAAGTGACTTATGACCATTTTTCCCACTTACAACTGTTGCAGCATCCCCACAGTCATGAGAGGCCAGGCGAGGAGATGCGTGCCTCAATGTGAGTGATATTGAGTTGGCCACACCCAGCCAATAACATGACCACCAAGCCATGTCCACCCAGTCACATGACCACTAAGCCACACCTATCACCTAAGCCACACCCACAGAACCGGTTGCTAAAAAATTTGAATCCCACTCCTGGTTTAAACGGAATGTGCTATCCCACCATTTGCCCCACCCATGTCTGTATCAATCTCCAGTATTTTCTTGCCTAGTTACACATCCACCACATGTGGCAGAACACACCTGGTAAATCCTTGCACTTCCAACATTTTGGGGATAAATTTTTGTACATTTTGGCAAGCTTTGCTGTGGGGAGGTGCCACCTGTAAAACATCTTGTATCGATTTTCCTTATTTCCTTTTGTATTTCCTTTCCAAGTGCCCAAATTTTGATCAAGTGACCATGGGAACGCTGCAACGGTCATAAGTGTAGAAAAATGGTATTTTGAGCCCCTTTTTTCAGTGCCATTGTAATGGTCACTAAACAGATGTTTGTAAATCTGTATACGCCCTCTTTCTATTCCCCCCCCCCCCCAAAAAAAGAACTATATAAAACTTGCCCAGAAGTTCCGGCTTCTTGTTGGACAAAATCTGATAGAAGATGTGGTAATTCCTCTCAGATTTCAGCTGAAAAATCACCCGAGACTTCTCTAAGAGATCTAAAAAAAGAGAGACAGAAAAGAGAAATATAACAGAGGTTGTGTAAACATGAGAACAAGAAGGAAAAAAACCTAAAAGACGAACAAGATTGGAATCAGATACAAAGAAATGGTTCATTAAAAAGAAAAAAAAAGCATATGTCAACAGAAGCCCTCAAGCAATGGATGAAAAATGTGGAGAGGGAAGTTAAAAATTGGATGGAAAGATAGACAGGTGAGCAATTAATTAGGGTTTATTGAGTACAAGGGGATTCCTGCTAGCAGGTGCTCCTCATCTTTATTGTCCCTGGGAATCATTTATAGCCCTTCCTTGTTGACCTCATCCATCTTCTATTCTGTCTTTCTTCTTCTTCTGAGTCTTTCCATTTTCTAGTATATAAGTCAGTTTTGCTCAGCCTGATTGGGTTTGTCAAACCCAAACCATATCAGATAAGTGACTGTCTGGACTCTTCTTAAAAACCTCCAGTGTTGGAGTATTCACAACTTCTGGTGGCAAGCTGTTCCACTGGTTAATTGTCCTCACTGTTAGGAAGTTTCTCCTTAATTCCAGGTTGCTACTCTCTTATTAAGTTTCCAGCCATGATTGCTTGTCCTGCCCTCTGGTGCTTTGCAGAATAGTTTGACCCCCTCTTCTTTGGGGACAGCCTCTCAAATACTGGAATACTGCTATCATGTCGCCCCTAATTTGTCTTTAATTTCTCTAGACTAGCCAAACCCCAATCCTGCAGTTATTCTTCGTGTTTTTTTTTTTTTGTCTCCAGGCCTTTAATTCTCTTAGTTGCTCTTCTCTGAACTTTTTGAAATAGTCTCAACATCCTTTTTGTAGTATGGTGGCCAAAATTAGTTGCAGACAGCATTCCAGATGTTGTCTTATGATGATTTTATAAAGCAGCACTAATACTTCACACGATCTTGATTCTATGCCCCTGTTTATGCAACCCAGGATTATATTAGCATTTTTGGCTGTTGCTCTTGTTTAAATAATCATCCACTTAGGACTCCAAGGTCCCTCTCATAGTTACTACATTTGAGCCAGGTCTTGGCTAATCTATAATTATACATTTGATTTTTCCTGCCCAAATATACAATTTTATTTTTCTCCACATTGAAATTCATTTGGTTGAATAGGGCTCATTGTTCAAGTTTGTCCGGATCTTTTTGGATCCTGAGTTTGTCTTCTGGGGTGTTTTGTTCTTCCTACCTAGTATGGTGACCAAAATTGGTCGCAGTGTTCCAGCTGTGGTCTTACTAGTGTTGGAAGAAATATCCATCTGGTTCATTTCCAAGTGGGGAGAAAGACACAGGAAACGTGGAGGCTGATTGGAAAGATGGTTTATTGGTGAACAGGACCACAGAGGGTTTGAGATCCTGGGCAGCTGATCACATGGAGTGGAGACTGAATGTTATTTATACCCTCTTTTAGGCCTTGCCCTTGAGCTTCCTATTCCTGTGGCAAGGACGTGTATTCTATTGGTTGCTGCCAGAGAACCATGGGGCTATGCAGAGGTCATAGCTAAATTTGTAGGTTTTCTGAGTCAAGCTTGATTGAAACTTGAGCTGATGCAGTAATGGGATCCTACTGGTTCAGCCTGGTTCAGACGAACCAGTAATAAAAAATGCTACTGTTCGGCCAAACAGGTATTTCTTTCTTTCTTTTTCCTCCCGACAATCAGCTGTCCCGATGATCAGGATCCCCCTTGTTGTCTTACTGCTTCACCTAGGAAGCTTCCATGAGGCTCAGGAGGCAAAAAGGTGTGTGTGTGTGTGTGTGTGTGTGCTGTGCACACACACCCGTGCTCCAGTTTTGCCTCCTTGGGCCTGGGGGCAAAAATGGCCCCCCAGGTGGCTTCCCTGAGGCCCAGGAGGCAAACAAAAAACAAAAAACGGAGCAAGTGAGGTTTCTACACTGGGGATTTATAAAGCAGTGCTAATACTTCACGTAATCTTGATTCTCGGATGAGAAGCGAAAAGTCTTCAAAGAAAGTCCGGTTGCCTCTCGGAAGGAGGGGGAAAAAAGCACTTTGGGGAAAAGGTGACTTGGATGATGGAGAATTTCCATAGATATCTAAACCACGTTTGCAACTGCTAAAATTAGGAGCCCATTGGGCTGGACATTGGGCTGGGAAAGAAGACGGACAGACGGACAAATGCAAGTTTTATTAACCAGGGTGACTTACACGTCTCGATATCAGCGGAGGCCAACTTGCCTGTTGCCCCAAAATGAATTCGGATGAATTTACCCTAGGTAGAAATATGAGTGTAAATAGATAAAAAAAAAGATCTAACAGATGAACAGAGATGGAAGGGACCTTGTAGATCATCTAGTCCAGTGGTCCGCAAGAAAATTATGGTGGTCCGTAGAGAAATATCTCGCCCAAAGCAACCTTCCCCAAGCAATTAATCCAAGCTGTGTGGGAACACAAGGCGGTGCCTCCCACATGGCCTCCTGGCCCCCGGCCTTCAGCCAAGCGCAAACCTTACCTTGAGTAGAGCCACACAAGCTGGAATTGGAAGGTAAGACCAATTTCGCGGGAGGGAAATCTGCCCCAGGGTGGTTTGCTGACGTGGGTGGGAAAGTCGGTCCCATATTCCAGAGCTGCAGTAGTCACAAGACTGGCCCTTTGGTCATCCCAGAGTAGCTCCTCCAGTCCATGGCAGGTCGGTGCACCCAGGTGGAGGAGCAGCTGCTCCAGGATGACCAAAGGGCCAGTCTTGTAACTACTACAGCTCTGGAATATGGGACCGACTTTCCCACCAACATCTCAGCAAGCCACCGTCAGTCAAAATTCATATTAGTGGTCCGAGGGATTTAAAATTATGAGTTTGGTGGTCCCTGACGTCCAAAAGGTTAGTGACTCCTGATCTAGTCCAGGGGTCACCAACCTTTTGGACCTCAGGGACCACCAAACTCATAATTTTAATTCCCGTGGACTACTAATATGAATTTTGACTGACGGTGGCTTGCTGATGTTTTCCCAGGGTCTCTGCAGAAAGCAGCAGAGAGCCTGGGAAAATCCCCCCAAAAGTCTGCAGAAAAATTCCCCATCCCGTTTTCCTACTGTTCAATCATTCTTTATTTGGGATCACAGGATACCGTCTCCAGCTCCGTTCTTAGGGGGAGAGAGAAAGAGAGACTTTTGGCTTCATGCAAGGAAAGCAGCAGAAGCAGCAGAAGTCTTTCTTTCTCTCCCCCAAATGAGAGAAATGAGTCTTTGCCGGCACAGCCTTGCAGGGTCCCAAAGACTCGTTTCTGGCGGAGTTTGGGGGAGAGAAAGAAAGACTTTTGCTGCTTTCCTTGTGTGCAGCCAAAAGCAGAAGAAGAAAGAAGCGGAAAGAAGCAGCCCGGTGGCCAGGCCAGGCACGTGGGGCGAGTGGGGCGAGTTCCCCCCCTCCGCCCTTTCCCCCCTCCCCTCACTACCTCGTGTTGTTTGCAATGCAAGAGATGCAGCCTGGATTAATTGCTTTGGGGGTGACATTTCTCTGCGGACCAACAAAATTTTCTCGTGGACCACTAGTGGTCCCCGGCCCAGTGGTTGGCAATCAACCCCCTGCCCAAGCAGGAGACCTTACATCATTTCTGACAGATGTCAATCCAATCTCTTCTTGAAAGCCTCCAGTGATGAAGTTCTCACAACTTCCGAAGGCAACTTCTGTTCCATCGGTTGATGGTTCTCACTGTCAGAAAATTCCTCCTGACTTCCAGGTTGAATCTCTCCTGGATCAGTTTCCATCCATTATTCCTTGTCTGACCTTTGGGTGCCTTGGAAAATAGATTGACCCCCCCTCCTCTCTAGGGCAGCCCCTCAAATACTGGAAGGCAGCTATCCTGTCTCCCCTGGTCCTTCTCTTCACTAGACTAGCCAAGCCCAGTTCCTGCAACCGTTCGTTGTATGTTTTAGCCTCCAGTTCCCTAATCATCCTGGTTGCTCTTCTCTGTACTTTTTCTAGAGTCTCAACATCTTTTTTATAGTGTGGTTACCAAAACTGGATGCAGAACTCTAGGTGTGGCCTTACTAAGGCTTTACAGAGTGGTATTACTACCTCCCTTGATCTCGATTGTATCCTTCTGTTAATGCAATTTAGGATTGTGTTGCCTTTTTTGGTCGTTAAGTGACACACACAATCATTAAACGGATCCGGCTTCTCCCATGGACTTCACTCATCGCTCAAAGATTGCCCCTTACAGTTATTGCTACATATTAAGCCTGGTTTCACCCAGTCTGTATGTGTGGGCTTTTTTTGCCTAAGTGTAGGACTTGACTTTTCCCTACGCTGAATTTGATTTTGTTAGAGAAGGCCCAGGGTTCAAGTCTGTCGAGATCCATCTGGATCTTGAGCCTGTCTTCTTAGGGGTTGGCTATTCCTGCCAGCTTAGTATCTAGATTTGAATCAAATCAAATCTTCCACTTGGCCAGTGGACCTCGATCTTCAAGCATTTATTGAGAAACCATTCAAAGTTACAACACTGAAAAAAGTGACTTACGACCAGTCCTTGAATTTGGATGCTTGCAACTGGGTCATATTTACGACTGTCATATGATCACCATTCATGACCTTCCGATGAGTGAAGTCCATGGGAGAAGCCGGATTCGCTTAATGATTGTGTGATTCACTTAACGACCACAGTGGTTTTGCTTAACAATGGCAAAAAGGACATAAAATCGGGCAGGACTTGCTTAACAATCGCCTCCTGAGCAATGGGAATCGTGGTGTGAATTGAGGTTGTAAATCAAGGATTACTTGAGCCCAATATTTCTGTCACTAAGCGAGACAGCTGTTAAGTGAGTTTTGCCCATTTCACAGCCTTTCTCCCTGCAGTTGGTAAGTGAATCGCTGCCATTGTTAAGTTAGGAACACCGTTGTTAAATGAATCTGGCTTCTCCATTGACTTTTCTTATGAGAAGGTTGCAAAAGGAGATCACGTGACCCCCCCAAGGGACTCTGAGACCGTCATAAATGTGAGTCGGTTTGTCAAGCTTCTGAAGTTGGATCACATGACCATGGGGAAACTGCAGCTGTTGTAAGTATGAAAAATGGTCATAAGTCCCTTTTTTTCAGTGCCAATGTAACTTTGAATGGTCACCAAATGAACTGTTGTAAGTTGAGGATGTCCTGTATGGACTGATGGCCTCTGTAAGATGGCAGCTCTTTCAAGGTCGACATAACTTTGTAGTAGAGCAGGAAGACAGGTGAGACATCTTCCTTCTTATCACCCTCCACCGTGATTCTAGATGAACGTCGGCGATCTTTCTTACTCAAACCTAACTTTAGATTTGGAGCACTCACAAAACGAGAAGAATTGTCGTTCCTCAAAGTTTTGGCGTTGCCGAAGGCTTCTAAGGCAGGGTTGGCCTGGATAATTTGATCTTCCAACGTCCCCTAAGCAGAAACCAAACAGACAAAAGAAGGGAAAAAAATCCAGATGAGAAGAAAGGTCATTTGTTTTTTCATCCCATCTCCATAGAAACGGCTCCTAAACCCACCATCATGAATGAGACCGTAGAACAGTGTTCCTCAATCTTGACAATTTTAAGCCTGGTGGACTTCAACTCCCAGAATTCCCCCTGCTGGCTGAGGAATTCTGGGTGTTGAAGTCCACCCAGCTTAAAGTTGCCAAGGTTGAGACCCACTGAAGTAGAAGACACAAGAGACACAAGGAGTATCACAGGAATATTGAAATAGTCAACCTAGTTTTCCATGAACAAGTTGATGGAAACTTGCTATCACACTATGCTTAGGAAGATGGACCTGTCATCAAATATTTCTAGAAATTTGGAGAAGGCTGGTGGCACGGAGAAGGAGATGTATGGGGAAGGGTGCTCAGTCCTGCCAGGATATCAATACCCAGCTAAGACAAATCTGTTAGAAATTCTGTTTATATCTAGCACCACAAACCAAACCAAAGAGTACAGTCACCATGTGCTTTACTGGTCAACTGCTTTTTTTAACTGTAACAGGAAATTCTACTTAGAGCATAAAGTATGTACCATAGATTCAAACTTGTAAACACTGCCATCTCCTGGCTGAATACTACTGTAGTTGTTGGATAAAAATACGTCCCAACAATGAATTCCAGCAACATCCCATTGTCGTGTCGTTTGCTTGATAACAACCTGAATCATGGACCATTATTCTGGATTCCCATGCGTGAACAAGAGGATCAAGGGTGAACACAAGAGACTGTCCGAATGACCACACATAGAGGAAATTGTTTGGGTTGATATCTGAAGGAGCTTTGGAAGTTCACACGCTTCTGAATTCCATTTGTCCTTTCCAAATAGAAAGGGTAGTGACTCTACAGGCAAGTCCATGAGTAAGAGGTAGCTTGGCTAAACAAATCCTTGGCTAAAGAAATCTCAACCTGAAGGCATGCATATGGGTTCCTTCAAGGGTTCATTGAGTTTTCCAGAACTATACCACGCTGCCTTTTTCCAACCCTGACCAATGGTAGAGCTTAGATCTTATTCTTTGAGAGGTTCTGGTTAACGTGGTGATGTTTTGGGTCATGCCAGCCCAGAATGTACACCCAGGAGTAATTTCCATGCTAGTGACTCATCCCATCTTCTCACATCTATCCCTGTTGTTTATGTGAAGCTTGTTCTCTGTCTTATTTCAACAGGGCCATAGTTGACTGATTCTAGAAGGTGCCATAATCTATCAGAGGGGATCTGAATTTAGTTTTGGTTCTACCTTCCATTGCAGAAGACCGTGGCTTGCTTTTCATCTAAGGGAGCAGAAGAAAAGGATCATCTGGACCTTCTCAAAATGTTATCAGCTAAATCCAAAACCCAAGGGAAGAAAACGCTAGGGGCATCTTCTCAAGAACATGCTATAAAATAAGCTTCCTCAAGTTGATGTTCTCCAAAAAAAACGTCAGGAAGATCTTCTCAGGAGCAGGCTTTAAGAGAAACTTCCCCAAATTGATGTTCTCCAGATGTTAGATTACTAGTCCCATAACCCATAGTTAAAACATATCTGACTGTTGAACTCCAAAACCAGAATAAGAACTACCTTGGGGGAGTTGGTGACTTCTTTTTTGCGGTCCCCAATGGCAGCGATGCTGGCGAAGTATTGGATGACTCGTTTAGTGTTGACCGTTTTCCCTGCGCCAGATTCTCCACTGAAAAGGAGACAGAATAAAGTGGGGGAAGGGATGTGTGTGGGAAAAGGGAGTAGCTTTCATCTATGACTTCTAAGCCATCCCAGTTTTGTTTCGTTTTAAAAAAAGGCCCTCCTACCAACTTTTAAAACTTTCATGAGAAGATGCATTTGATACTCACGTGATGAGGATAGATTGGTTTTCTCGATCTGAAAGAAAATAGCAAATATCAAGATTGGGGTCAGTGTGGAGCCGAATTTAACCCATTCAATCATCTTTGCAACGAATGCGTAGCTGACACCTTCCAGAGGTAGACTTCGACTTACGACCACAACTGCGATGAGAATTTCTGTTGCTAACAAGGGGGTTGTTAAGTGAGCCATGCCTGATTTTAGGGCCATTTTAGTGACAGTTGCTAGATTAGGCTGTTGTTTATTCTTAGCTTGTTTGTCTGCATTGGTAGTTCCTTGCTTGGGGTGTTGTTTACTTCTTGATTGTTGATCTTGGTGCTAGTCTCTGCTCATCTGGGTGTCAATTGATGGTGAGATCTTTTTGATTCTCGCTTTTGAATGGTATGTAGTTGTTGTTTATCTCGGCGTGCCTGTTGATGGCTGATTTGCCTGAGTGCAAGGCTTCAGGGAATTCTCTGGCATTTTTGGACTTGGCTTAGTCTAGGAGGCTCACCCTTACCCTGTTGAAACTATGATTAAGTCCATCCATGTGTTGAGAAATTATCAACAGCGTAATCAAGGAACCGCCAAGACCACTCCCAACGACACTGACAGGCCAAGAGACTAATGTATAAAAAGAGAGTAAACCTCACTTTCTTTTAGTACTGATGATATTCCCTGGTTGGGTCATGAAATGTCTGCAAGAAAGCAACCAAGCTCAGAGAGCACCAAGGATCCCAAGTCCTCCTCCTCCTCTCCCTCTCATCTCCTCTCCTTTTCTCCCTCCTCCCCTTTCTCCTCCTCCTCCTCCTCCTCCTCCTCTTCCTCTTCCTCCTCCTCCTCCTCCTCCTCCTCCTCCTCTCCACAAACCTTACTCCCTTCTAGCACTGATGATGTTAGCTCGTTTGATAATGAAACGACTGCAAGAAAACAACCAGGCTCATAGGACACCACAGACCTCCTCCTCCACCTCCTCCACCTCCTCCTCCTCCTCCTCCTCCTCTCTGAAAACCCCTCTCCCTTCTAGCATTGATGATGTTCCCTAGTTGAGTCATGAAACGTCTGCAAGAAAACAACCAAGCTCAGAAAACACCAAGAATGCCACAGTTCCCCTCTTCCTTTTCCTCCGCTCTACAAACCTCACTCCCTTCTAACACTGATGATGTTAGCTAGTTTGGTAGTGAGACGTCTGCAAGCTCAGAGAGCATCAAGGACCCCACAATCCTCCTCCTCCTCCTCATCTCTGCAAACATCTCTCCCTTCTAGCACTGATGATGTTCCCTAGTTTGGTAATGAGATGTCTGCAAGAAAACAACCACGTTCAGAGCACCAAGGACCCCACAGTCCTCCTCCTCTCCACAAACCTCACTTCCTTCCAGCCCTGATGATGTTCCCCAGTTTGGTAATGAGACATCTGTAAGAAAACAACCAAACTCAGAGAGCACCAAGGACCCCTCATTTCAACCTTGAGTTACAACTCTTCGACAGGTGCTTAAAAACAACCTGACAACCTCTGCTTGAAGGCTTCCTACCTGTCAACATGTATTGATACGCGTTGTCGGAGATTGAGAAAATATGGGGAGGGGCTTCGCTCCTTTTTTTCCCCCTGTAGGCAGCCACCACTTCAGCGTTGTAGACGGGGAGCCATTTGTATGGGTTGACCGTCACGCAAAAGAGGCCGGAATACGTCTGGGAAGGGAAAAAGAACAAAAACAGAGAGAAAACCACACAAAAAGGTCACCCCAAATTGCATAAATTTGGAGCCTCTTCTCCAAGAAGCCATTGCTTAGCTTCCTCCAAACCTGACATCCCCCAAATGGGGCGAACTTCATCTCCCAGAATTCTCAGCCATGGCCCCGCCCACTGAGGAATCCTGGGAGTTGAAGTCCCAACCTCTGGAGAAGTTTGGTACAGCTAATTTGATGCAGGAAACTGTAAGAGCCCTTGAGTTAACACTACAATCGAGGCCAACTTTTCTGTCGTTCAGTGAGACGTTTGTTAAGCAATGGCTGTGGAACCTTCCCAGAACCGCTGAAGGGACCGTGTTGTAAACATTTACAACCTATTTGCACTATTCAGGGGACACCGAGGGCACAGATAAATCTCCAAGCAACCTCAACAGCTCTCAGAGAGAGTACGAACGATCAGAGGAGTGCAAAGGAATATAAATCCTTCCGTCTTCTGCCATTCAGTCAGAACTGAAGAAAGCTTCTTGGATGAAGGGTGAAACCTCTTCAAGTCCAGTTGCCTTTTGAAAAAGCACCTTTAGGACAACCATGGCCTGGATGACGGAGAATCTCCATAGATCCCATAAGATGACATCAACAGAGATAATTGGTTGTGGGAGGAGTGCTTTGGGGAGAAAATAAACCCTTATTCCCAGTGTGGCCCATGAGGACGGACATGTCTTTACTCACATAGATCATCCAGGAGGCGTAGCGCTCCTTCAGGTTGAAGAGCACGGCTGGTTCGTGCAGAAAAGTCAGCATGGCCATGTCCTCGATCTTGTCGAATTTGGGTGGGTTCTGCTGGTGGAAGTCGGCCTCCCTCACTGTCATGGTCTGAAAAAGGTCAGGAAGAGAGAACAGGGGTTGGCTGGATGTAATTGGACTATGAGAATGACCTTGGCAGACAGGAGGAAGCACTGCAGAGGAGGCAGTGATCAGATAAGAGACATCTCAGCCCACGGAAGGAAAAGGGGTGTGGGAAGCATCCCTAGTTTTCTGCAAAGTCACACAAATAACAGAGTTGAAAGGGATCTTAAAGCTCTTGTAGTCCAAACCCCTGCTCAAGGAGGAGACCCTATGTCATTTCAGACAAATGCTTGTCTAATCTTATCTACAAAATCTCCAGAAATGGAGCACCCACAAATTCTAGAGGCAAGTTGTTCCACTGATTAATTCTTCTCACTGTCAGGAAATTTCTCTTTAGTTCTAGGTTACTTCTTCCGTTGTGGCCTGTCGGCCACCGTCCCCTCCAGCAGCTGAATCAGAGGAGGAAGAGGAGGCGTGGGAATTAGGGTCAGCCTCAGGGCAACCTGGGAGCTCCAAGGGGGAAGAGGGAGTGGAGCTGGCAGAGAGAGAGAAAGAGAGGAAGAGGAGGAGCCTGGGCCGTCTGTCAGTCCTCAGGTGGAGAGTCAACTGCCCCCAGGTCTGGGGGTAGCTGATGAGAAAGAGGAGGAATAGCCGGTTCCAGTGCCTGGCGTACGGATGTGCAAAAGGCAGAGGAGAGGAGAGCAGTGGAAATCTATGGGCCGGTTCTTAGGATGGAAGAGCTATCACTGCTGCTAGTGAGGCCCCACTCTGCCTTTTATACACTCTGGCAATAAAAGGCAGAGAGTGGAGACAAATAGATGTGGCAGACAACTGTTAATCGCCTGGCCAGCTGGACTTGTTAGCCTGCAGTGTGAGAAAAACTTTTTGCCGGTGCTCCTAATAAAGGAATCTTTGAGTTAATTTCAGTGGGTTTGTGGTGTTTGGAGACCTGGGTCAGAACATCTCTCTTTGACATCCATTCCAACTTCTTGTCCTGCTTTGGTGGAGACTAGGTTGACCCCCCCCCCTTCTTTGTGGCGGCCCCTCCAATACTGGAATATCGCTATTATGTCACCCCAAGTCCTTCGATACAAGAACAGGAGGAAAGAAGTGCTTTCAGACTTGAAAAGATACCAGGTAGAAGTATCATTAGTAGCGATAGACTTATATACCACTGCACAATGCTTTACAGCCCTCTCTAAGCAGTTTACAAGCCAGCATACTGCCCCCAACAATCTGGGCTCTCATTTTACCGACCTCCAGAAGGATGGAAATCTGAGTCAATCTTGAGCCAGTGAGAATCGAACTGCTGGCTGTCGGCAGAGTTAGCCTGCAATACTGCATTCTAACCACTGTGCCACCACAGTACTCGTGGTTTGTGTTTCTTAAGATAGACTACCTTGAAGGGTTGACCCCTAACTTCTTCTCAAGGCTCTGGAAGAAAACTTTGGAGAGTGGGACTGTCTATCTGGCGATTCCTGGATTGATACTTCAGCTCCGCTCAATTTTTTCTGAAGATTTTGATGCCTTGATATCTGTCCTTCGCTCTTGGTCAAGATTTCACCATAAGATCTCCTTCCCTGCTCTTGACTCCGCAACTTTTCAAATATTTTGACTCACAATTCTCTACAGCCCATCTTGAACAATCACAACAAGCAGCTCCCCTCCGTTGTCACCTTCTTTCTGGAACCCACCTTCTCTACAGATTCTCACCTGTCCATGATGGACACTACCTCAACCATCTCCCTTGTGTTGCCACCTTCCTTCTGGACCCCACATTCCCCACAAATTCTCGCCAACCCACCTTGGACACCTCTTCATACAGATTTCCTTCATTGCCACCTTCCGTTTGGAACTCACCTGTTTCACAATTTCTCACCAGCCCTCCTTGGACACCATCTCAACCAGGTTTCCTCCATTGCCACCTTCCTCCTGGAACCCAC